AGATAACTTGGGCTAGAAACATGGCTCAGACAGTAGTGGCACTTGCCAGAAAGCCTAATGACCTGAATTTTATCCCCAGAACCCCCATGATAGAGGGAGAGAGCTGACTCCTACACAATATTCTCTGGCCTGTACATTCAAAAAACAAACTTCTTTTGTCTTTTAGAGAAAGAAAGTGAGGCTTTCTCTTGCAGCGCAGACTTTCAGTTCAGCATGTAGACAAGAATGATCTTGAACCCCATGCCTTTTGCCTCTACCTCCCATGTGCTGGAGCAGCAGGGGTTGTACCACCATGGCCAGGACCATGGGAAAAGTTATTTTTGCTGCTGATTGTTATAGCTCTTTCATATACAAATTGATTTGTTATCTATATATAATTCTCAGAACTTCAGCTGTACAGTCTGCTTTGAATAAAAGAATCACAGCTTCCTAAGGCAAGCCAGCATCACAGAAGAATAAACAGCCCAATTACTCTGGAAGCATTATATTACTTTCCTTAGACAGGGTTTCTCTGTATAGCTTTGGAGCCTATCCTACCTAGCACTCACTCTGTAGACCAGGCTGGCCTTGAACTCACAGAGATCTGCCTACCTTTGCTGGAATCCATCACTGGCACTGCATAAATTGGGTGTGGAGTCGTACTCTCTGATATTATCACTCCTGTAATAGAGGCAGGAGAATCAATGATCCCAGCGCTTGGGAGGCAGAGGCAGGCAGATCTCTTTGACTTCGAGGTCAGCCCGGTCTGTTCCAGGATAGCCAGGGCTACACAGAGAAATCCTGTTTCAAAAAGCAAAACAAAATCCACTATCATATTTGACTACATGTCAAATTCAAGACCATTCTGGGCTACATAAGAAGACAAAAGGAAGAAATGTATAGTGGAAGTGTCTGGGCATGTTGCTGGAGGTGGGTTGGGTGTCTCGTTTGTAGAACAGTGCCTAGATGTGTGTGATGGGAAACTGTTTTCAGTGGCTGTGAACAACCAAAGGCTATCATTATACCGTGTCCCAAAAAACAGGTGCTTATGCCACAAATAGCCCTTTCCATATTAACTGGCTTCAGAATGATGTGAGACAAACTTCCAGACCATCAGCTCTCTCCTGCAGGTGAAACAGTTGCTCACTGAATTTGGGTTTCCATTCTGAGAAAGAATATAGGAGCTGCAGCAAGAATCGCCCTTTCAGGAATCTCCTGAGGTGGGGAGTCTGGTCTGTAGCTCTAGCTCTCTAGACAAGACAGTCTGGTCCCCTATGCTGGTGGGAGTGGCCTCAATTTATAGGTGGATGTGAGCCCAGCCCCAGGGATCAGTAGAACATTCCAATGAGGCGCCTTCGAGGCTGAGTGGAAATTGCTCAGTACTCCCAAGAACAGGGAGTGACTGGGCGTGGCTGAAGGGGGAGGCATGGCAGAAGGTGATCCCCAAACAGAACAAGAAGCTCACGGAGGACAGTTTTTACAGGTGACCAGGGCCTGTGTGATCTCATGATCCAATCTAGTCTGGTCCTCACAGTGGTACCTGTCTTAACCTCTTGATCGTTTTGCTATTATGGGATGGGAACAATAGAATTACCACCTCAGTCCCATGAGTACACAAAGGAGCCAGAGGGTATCACCTGGGAACCTGATTCCACACTCTGCCTTTAGACCTCACCCAAAGAGTTAGACCTCACCCAAAGAGCTGCCGTGCATTTGTGTCACCACCTGGGTACATAGTGACAGACCAATAAGGATGGGATGGCATTGGGTTTCTTTCTGCCTCCCTCTTTGAATTATAAAGGGTCCAGACAAGAGTACGATTCCCTTCATAGACACCTGCAGGCTTGGTCTTACAGGGAACAGAGTCACTATCACTTGGTCCTTGTCTGTGTTGGACACTGTTAGGTCGCTGACTGTGTTAGATCCCTTACTTGCTCAGCCCTGGCAGGTGAGGTTTCTCACTTCTAGCCGCTGGCAGTCAGCCCCAAAGTTCTACCACTTCCTCCCAACCCTGCTCTTCCCTGGAACTCTGCCAGCCAGAGGGAAGTCTGGACTGAAACTAGAGGAAGTGGGCTAGGGCATAGGTATTTTTCTGCCTTGCCTGGAAATGCCTGAGAAGACTCAGGTGAAAACCTGGAAACAGAAAGTGCTGCTGCGTGCAACCCTGGCTGTGAACAGTGAACAGGAACAGCCGCCCAGGAAAGATGAGCTGGGGACTGGGGCAGATTTCAGAGCAGCAGCCGTGGGGAGGGGCAGAAGGGGATCACAGAGACTGTCAGAATGCTCAGAATGCCCTGATTATTCAAGATGGTTTAGGAAGGCTTACCAAGGGAACTGGCAGCCTCAGCTAGGAACTCAGCCTCCCTTAAACCTCGTGGGCTGGGGATGTGGCTCGGCTGGACAACATTGACCAAGAATATGTGAAGTCGTGGGTTCGACCCCCAACACTGAATAAACTGGACATGGAAGCACATTCCTGAATTCAAGAGTAGCCTGAATTACATGTGAGACCTTTCCTGGAAGGAAAGAAGGGGGGAAAATAATGTCTGATCTACTTACTTCATGGATGACTTAAACTTACTGCCTACCCTGTCTTGGGACTGAGTTTGAACTTGCTGTGTTTGTGTTAGAGTCAAAGAAAGACCCTGGAACCACAGACTCAGAATTGGTTTCCTGGTGCTGCCAGAGTGGTTAGACACAGAAATGATTGCCTCACAGTCCCGAGACTAAAGGACAAGGTGAAAGTCTGAACAGGGCTGCTTCCTTTTGGAGGACAGGCAGTGGCAGATGATATTTCCTGGTATGTAGAAGCAGCATCCCAGTCCCTGGCTTCCTCTCTCAGTGATGTGGGTCATGACCAAAACCAAGCTGTAAACACATGGGACAGGAAGTTCGCTTAGTTTTTATTCTAAAAGGAGTGGTGGTTCTGCGACATCTCACTGGTGTCTTAGGCCCCATCTACCCTTTCCTTTTGAGAATCTTGCTGACTTGGTTCTCAACAAGCAGGCAAGGCTGGCTAGCCAGTAAGCTCCTGGGATCCTCCTGTCTCAGCCTCCCCAGTACTGGGATTACAAGCTTTCAGCACTGTGCCCCCACTTACTTACATAGGCATTCTGGGAATCAAACTCAAGTCCTGTGTTTGCAAATTTGCCATCCTAGCCATCCGCCCAGCCCCCAAGCTACCCCTTTTATAATGTCCTGCTAGGTTCAGGTACAAATTGCTGACTTCCAGTTAACTTTATCACCTCAGAACCTGACCATGTACATGGCTGTGAGGGGTTAGGAGTCGTTTTTGTTTAGTTTTATTTTGTTTCTGTTTGTTGTTTGGTTTGAGGGGGTTTCTTTTGTTGGGGGTGAGTTGTTTTTCAAGACAGAGTTTCTATATTTAACAGCCTGGCTGTCCTGGAACTCAATCTGTAGAGCAGGCTGGCCTCAAAGTCAGGAGTCCACCTGCCTCTGCCTCCAGTGCTGGGATTAAAGGTGTGCCTGTCCACCAGGGGTTAGGACTCTTAGGTGGTTCCAGAGATACAATTTAGCGCACACACACACACCCTTATCTTAGACGTGTAAACAACTTCCACAAAGATCTGGAAGGATCAGGACTCTCCCCACAGCTTGGTCTACTACAAGGGATGCTGCTTTCATAACCTTTAGTAAGAGTACCTGGGAAAGGCAGGTGCCTTCCTGGCCTGTGCTCAGATGGTTTCTGGAGCCAGTGTGGGGATCAAGGTACAAAGGCAGCTAGGTGTATAAGAGGTCCATTCTACAGGTGAGCCAAACATGGTATTGGAACTTTTCTCAGCGCTTCTCAGCAGGAGGATCCAGAGTTCAATTTCATTTATAGCTACATTGAAAGTTCGAAGCAAGCATGAACTACAGGAGATCTGGACAGACAGGAAAAGGAGTGTTTGTCTTGTGGATTTTTTGGGACACCCCATGCCCAAATTACATTTTTTTTATTTTATGAAAGGGAGAATAGAGTCTGGATTTTAAACAAGTGACTTGAGATATTGACTTTGGAGTATGGCCTGTTAGAAGCTGCTGCTGTCTCCGCCTGTTGTGTTAGATCTCCTGAGACCTAGGAGCCTGTGTCCCCCACTCTTCAGCAATCCACCCTCCTTTCTCAGATTACTCTCAGCCCTTAACAGACTGTTGCCTAGCCCAGGCCAGAGGCCCTATAATTAAGACCCATCTTTTGCTTCTTTAATAACACGGGAGAGAGAGTGCTCCTGAGTAAGGCCAGCAGGAGACTGTAATTCCAGATCCTCTTCCTGTGCCGGTATGAATTTAGTGCATGTGAAGTCTTGCTGCTTCAGGAGCGAAAGCAGGCTGTTGGCTTGGCACCTGTGTGCTGGAGGTAAATAGCATAACAAGGTGGTCTGACAATAGAAGCTCCTTGGATGAGTGTTCAGTCTACTTGGGGTTTCCTATTTCACCTTTCTGTGATTGTGTAGGCATCGGCTGAGGGAAATGAGCTGAGCTGGGGCATTTCCTAAGACACACCACAGACACAGAGCCTCCCCCAGTACTGGAAACCCCAGCAATGTCCTTAACTTACCTTGTTCTGTGCCTCATCCTGACTCAGCATGCTCCAGTTTTTCCCATTGGTCACTTCTCAATGCCTTTCACTTGTCCTCTGGAATGAGAACAGAAAGATACAAATGGTCTACCTTCCCCAGCCTCTTCCTGGGTATATTCTACTGTGGTACATACAGAAGTGTATACTGTGATGTTTATAGATGCTGTCCTCCTCCGTGTACAGGGATGGCCTCTTGGATTCTGAGCAGACTTGCTCATCCAGAGTCATTGCCAGTGAGTCCCATGTGTGTATCTGTGTTTTCTCCCTAAGCTCCTTGCTTACTGCTCCTATGTCCGTGACTTGCTATAGCCTTATCAATGAGATCTTAACTTTGGTTCCACACTAGAACATAAGCAAATATATGAGGTAGGAGACTTAGGGGTTCTAGGCTACCTCAACACATTTTGAATTTCGAATTATCTCTTGTCTCCTTTCCTTTCAGATTGATGCACTGAGTAAAAGAAGCAAAGAAGCAGAGGCAGCCTTTTTGACTGTGTACAAGAGATTAATTGATGTTCCAGGTAAGTCACGCCATTGGCTAGCTAGTGAGGAGCTTATTATGTTTGCTTAGTTGTGAATGTTACTGTTTTTAGTTTTTCTAAGGTGAATGGATCACTCAAGTAGCTTCCCTGGGGGAGGGGGGGACAAGGGAATGTGAATTCTTTAGAACCCAGACTTTGGGTAAGCAGGAAAATGCAATGTGTGTGTAATCCCAGGCCCACTAGCTGATTCTTTTGTAAGCACAGAAGCCCATGCCTATAACCATGCTGCAGAATGTCTGTGTCACAGGGAAGTGTAGAGGGTGGTAAGTGCTCTGCAGAGATCTCCCAGTTGCAGATGCCATCTGCAGGACCTTAGGAATGGTGCTAACAGCATACCATGTGTACTTCACTCCCCTCCAGGTCACAGGGGATCATTGGCTCCTGGGAAAATATGTTTCACTGAAGGGTTAAAGCTGGCAGTCCCATTCACTATGACTAAATATTTGAGTAGCATCTTCTTTTAAAGGAGTGCATTCAAGTTTAAGTGCTCCTTGTCAGGGATTCCTCAAGGAGATGGGTTTCTCATTCCTCAGCTTCCATGTGATTGAGAATCTGTTGGGACAGATGGACATGATCACATGGATCATAGCTCAGTCCTGGAAGAAAAGTCACAAAGCTATCTTCCTGTGCTGACAAGGAAACCAAAGTACGTCCCCAACACATACACACTGTAGTCACATGTTTGCCCTGTTTGATAATTGTGCAGACATCACCCGTATTAGATATGCCTTGACCAACAAAGCAGAAACTTCCATTTTGTGCCTGTACAGGTGTTCGAATTCCTTCCAAGAAGGGCCTGGTCTATAGCACTGTGTTCACCAGCAGCCACCCGGTCAATGCCACCAGTGGCTTTCCCCTTCTCTCGGAGCTGAACCAAATGGGGAATTCTCTACTCTAGTCTCCCACTATGAGATTTGCTGCAAGGTCTCAATTGTATTGATTCTCTCTTCTATAAAATGGGTAAGATGTGGGAATGACATCGTAGTGGAGAATACTTTCCCTTGTTCCATTTTTTTATTGCCTTAGTTTATCATGCTCCGAGTTCTAAATTCTGGCCTTACAATTCTCTGTAAGAGTTTGAATGTGATTATGGGTTTCCTGAAAACTGTTCCCAAGACCCACAAGAAGGCTTCTGTATTATAAATTGATTATTTGGTATTCAGGGTATATCGAATGTCCTAGTTTGCTTCTCCATTGCTATAGTAAAACAGTGACTAAATCAATTTGGGGCAGGAAAAAGTTTATTTGACTTATATGTCCTGATCACAGTATATCATTGAGAGGTTGGGAACCTAGAAACAGGAACTAAGGCAGAGACAATGGAGAAAAGCTGCTTATTGGCTCACTCTCCATGGCTTACTCAGCTTGCCTTCTTCTACAACCCAGACCACCTGCTCACAGGTGACACCATACAATTGCCCACAGGGGCGAATTGTCTTCCCATGGTTACTCTAAGTTGTGTCCTGTTGACAAAAACTAACCAGCACACTGATCCTCAAGTGCCAGCAATTTGATGGACACCTCTTACATTTTCTTTTTTCCCCTTTATTTTACTTTTCAGTGCTGAGGGTTGAATGCCTCTGAACTATGTACTTATTATCTACTTTTCTCCCCCCCCCCCTTTTTTTTTTTTTTTTTTTTTTCTTTTTCTACGTGTAAGGTATCTGAGAATGTTTTCTCTCAACCATGTAATGTCCACACTGACTCCCAGGGTGCAGGATTTATAGGCAAAGTGCCACCATTTCCATTCCATTCATTCTCCAAATGTTCTCTTGGTTCCTCCTGCTCAAGAGGGTTCTGCTCCTGCCATCACTGCAGGACTCCACAGGGAAGGGTGTTCCAGATGAGAGCTGGGGAATTATTATTTTGTGTTCACCAAAGATCTACTTTCATTTTGACCTCAGCTGCCATTTCAAACTAAAACATATTCTGTGCAGAGTTGAGTTTGTGCCAGGATTTTCCCCTACTGAAGTTTCCCAGCTAATTAATAATCACTTAAGAGGTTTTGAATTCTTTATCTGAAATTATTTTCTGCCTTAGTTTCCCATAGAACACAGATAGACTGTTTTTCTCATGAAAGTTTAATTTTTTATATAAAGACCTTATATATTTTGTAGTTTTCATAATTGTCATTTGAGGCTGGAGAATTTTGTTTATTTTTACATTTATTTGTTATGTACATGTGCAAATGCATGTGTGCCACAGAGCATGTATGTCCATCAGAATAACTTGTCTATTCTCTACTTCCACAATGTGGGCTGCAAGCACCTTTATTCACTGAGCCATCTCAAGGGCCCATGTTTGGTGTTTGAGGTAGGATTGTACTGTATACGTAAGGGTAGTTTCAAATTCACCATATAGTTCAAGTTGATCTCTAGCTCACCACAATCCTCTTGTCTCAATCTCCCAATCACTAGAGATAGAGGTGTGTCACAACACCAAGCTTGAGTTATCAGCAGTTCTCAACCTGTGGATCATGACCCCTGTGGGGGTAGCATATCAGATATTTACATATCGATTAATGACAGTAACAAAATTAAAGTTATGAAGTAGCAACAAAAATAATTTTATGGTTGGAGGTCATCACAATATGAGGAACTGTTAAAAGGTCACAGTGTCAGGAAGGCTGAGAACCACTGAGCTAGAGAATTAAAGCTCATGGTTCACACTGAACATGGATTAAATAAGATTTACTATTTTGGAGTTGAGAATGTAGTTTAGTTGATAGAGTGCCTGTCTGGCATGCATGAAGTCCTGGGTTCAATCTGTAGCTACATAATCCAAACACTGTAATAAATACCTGTAATCCCAGCACTTGGAGTGGAGGTAGGAAGATCAGGAATTTAAGGTCATTCTTAACTATACATCTAGTTCAAGTCCTGCATAGTCTACTGGAGAGTCTCTCAAAAAGAAAAAAAAAAAAATGATGTTTTCTGTATCAAAGTCAACCAGAGCACACCTACATTCCAGGTAGATCACTACCCTCAGCATGTCAGACATGCTGTGGACTGACAGACCTGACGAGTTACCTAGGAAGCTGGCCTGGAGTGCTCCACCTGGTCATGCAGTCTGGCGATTGCTCAGATGAGGTAATCCTGTGGCTGAGGCTTCCAGGAAAGGCCTGGTCAATAGCGCCTCATTTATTGACAGCCACCCAGCCAGGCAGGGGTCCAAGAGCCTTCACTGTCTGTGGGCTTTAGGCTGCAGTCCAGTAGAAAACAGGACTTGTGGACATATTGAGTTCTACTTGAGGGAGACAGGAACTCATGTTAACAGGAAGCTTGGGGAGACCGACAGGTATGCCAGCTTCGTGCCCTGTGGCTCAGTGCCAGGAGCTCAGGCAGAGCAGTGCTGCGAGCCCCAGGAAGAGCTGGGTCCTGAGTTGGCGCCAGCCGCCATGCCGCCTGGAGCTGTTCTTCGTTGTCTCTTCTTGCTCCTTGTTTGTGAGAACTGCTGAAGGGAAAGGGCCTTATAGCCAGGGTTTATTTTCTTGCTCTGTGTCCACCAACAGGCACATAGAAAGTATGAGCCAGGCAGTTAACAGAACCCTCCAAGGATCCCAAATAGTTTTCAGCAGCCACCAAAGTGACAGCTTCCTCTCTGTCCTTCTCTCATTCCCAAGTGAAAGCCTGCATGGCCAGCTGTCTCCTGAACTGTCCACTGGGATGGTTAACGGCCCCTGTTCCCACCCAAGGGACACTGTTCTCTCCCTTGGGGCCCTGCTTCTTTTGGGTGGCACTTTCTCTCACCCATCTGCTCACCCAAGGACCATGTGGTCACCTAGTCCTTCTAGCCATTTACCTGTAAGATATGTCTCTATCCCAACTCCTACCACCCTTCTTCACAGGTGCCCCAAGCACAGCTCAGTTCACCTCTCCCTAGTCCTGCAGATTAGTTTATATGAGGACCCTGCCTCTTAAAATGTTCTATCTTGTCCTGACACATCTTGCTCAGACCTCACAGTCTAGGTCTATGTAGTCCAGGTAGACTTAGAATTCACCATCTTCCTGCTTCAGCCTCCCAAATGCTAAGATCACAAGTGTGTATTGCCACGCTCAGCCTCCCGCGCACCTCCCCCCCCACTTTCTTTTTTGAGATAGGGTCTTATGTCTCTCAGGGCTTCCCTCAAACTTGATATGTAGCTGAGGATAATTTTAAACTTCTGACCTTCCTGCCTCCCAAACCCGAGTGCTAGGATTAAAGGTATGTGCCACCATGTCTGGTTTGTGGAGTGGGGTTAAATCCAGGGCCCTATGCACCCTAGACAAGCAGTCTCACGGTTTGTGGAGTGGTGGAGTTAAATCCAGGGCCCTATGCATCCTAGACAAGCAGTCTCACTGCTTCTGTAACTGTGGTGGCACACTGCACTCAAACAATGTGGCCTTGTCCCTAATCACTCCCAGGCGTATACTCCAGTGTCTACCATGTAGTAGAAATTTGGTAAATATGTGTCTGGTGAATGTACAAGTGGATGTCAAATCATTTCTTCAAAGTGCTGTCTGAAGCCAGATGGGTGGTGCTGTAATCCCAGCACTAGGATTGTAGAGGCAGGAGACTCAGAGTTTAAGGTTATCCTCACCTCTGTAGTAATTTTACTATAGGACAATGTAAATTACATGAAACTAAACACAGTATGTTCTCAGGGTTTCCCTGGTCTGTAGCTTTCTTCAGTCAAATTTCTACCTTGCTCCTATGATTGACAACTTCCATGGGAATGAGCTCCCTGGAGTGTCTAAAGTATCAGATAGCATCCACTGCTTGCCATTGCCTTGGAATGGTTTAATCGCTCTCTCAATTTTAATTTAGGTTTTATGTCAGTCTATAAAAATTTTCATGACTGCAAAGGCATTGACACAGCCCTTCCATTTGGGGTCTAGGACGTGTGCTTGGCAAATTTTCTATCCTATGACTTTGATGCTTGGCCCCTGCATTCTGTTGAACAGCTATCCTACCTGCATCCCAGCCTGGCTCTCCCTATA